ATTTAAATAATAAAAACCTACAATATAATTAGTTTAATTAGAAAATAGCTGCATGAAAATACCATTTTGATAAATTGAATTAGACTGAGTCGATAACTTACCATAATTTGAAATAGTTCCAAGAATATACCACTCTATATAAGAATTATAATAGTAATTCTCATATTAAATCAAAAAATTTAATTCTCTAAAATAAATTTTTAAGAGAAATATAAATTGTATTTGAGAAAGCGATTATTGAATTGAAGGAGAAAATTTGTCTTTTACTTCAAAGCCGAGATTAATTTAAGAATAAATTAGGAAAAGTCTGAAATACATAAATAATTTATATTTCTTATTACACATAATTTATTCAAATAATGAAATAATGGAGAATCTGAATGTTTAGTAATATGTTACTCATGATCATGTAAATTAAATAGAAGATATACTTAAGGAGTTATTTTGCAAAATTAATGATAATTCAGTTATTTTTAATTTTGAAATTTAGGAATAATTGATTCTCCAAAACTAGGGAAAAAAGAAGGAATTTTCTAATTGTAATTATTGTAAAATAGACTGAATTAATTCAGACAAGAGATACATCCTTTTTTAGTTAATAATTAAGATCAATTTTCAAAATATTTAACTTTCTCAAAGACTCACAAACATTTAAACTCTTAAGTTTCTTAAAATGGTAAAGTGATTGATACAGGTTTCAGCGTTTGACAATTCTGCTGATGCGATTAAATGATTCCAAAATTAGGTGTCACAAAATTTGCTTTTAAGATTTCAGAAATATCATATATAATGATTGGAGTTGGGATTAGAGAGATAGTAAAAATAGCAATTATGAAGATTGTAGTAATTTAGGAGGAGGGTATAAAATTATGAATTTAAAAGTTTTTAAAAGAATATATTGCATATATAATCCTGGCTATTGTTATTCTCGAGATTAAAAAGAAATAGATAATAAATACATTGGTTGGGGATTTTCGACAAATGACATTATAATTTTTGAAGTAGATATGAAAAACAAATATGTCAAATAGACTAAATAATCCATAAACAAATCAATCTTTTAATTTTATTAAGGCTATGAATATCGACACAACATTAGACCTATACCCGTGTCTACAATTTAATTAAATAGTAAAGGTAAAATTGAAATTATAAATTAATCATTTTCATAAGAGAATTATTGAAGAAATTGATATATGAACAGATTATTATATCTTTAAATTATATCATTTTATAGTAAAATTAAACTACATTTTCTTATTGATGAATTTTTCATTCAGTTAGTACATTGATTTTGATAAATTTTCTAACAAAGAACAAAAGGAATAAATGTATGAGAAGGGAAACATAGTGTTAAAGTTAAAATTTATATTTTAACATTAAATATATATAGGATACATTTAATAGACAAAAATTAAAAAAACCTTGAAAATTTAATTATAATATTACTTTAAAAGATTACCAAATTCCAGTTTTCAAAACATGATTGGGTTATTTTTTCATTACCTGTTAAAATATTTCCAATAGTGCTCAATGAAGGAATAGTAAGTAATTATTTTTTTGAATGAAGTAGTTATTTTAGTTTTTCAATAACCACTATTTGAATTAGTATATTAGAATGTTTTTCATCATCACTTAAATAACTCAAGCCTCAAAAAGTACTTTAGAATAGCTCTTCATCCTCAATTATCATGATAATATCTGGAACAATTGATAATAATTCCATGTTATATTATTTCTTAGAAAAATATTTACCATTTCATGAGATTTTTAATTGTTTGTTATGCTTAGTTATTTTTAATTATTGAAGTTTGTTCTTTTCATGATAATGAAATAAAATAAAAAATCATCATAAAAAATTAGAAATAAACTCATTAACATACCAATTCTGAAGCAATTTAATTGTTTAGAAATCAAATAATTTTTTTTTTTATACAGAAGTTTATTTATTTACCGTTTGAATATATTTAAAAAATATCTATTTTAATAAAATATGTCATTATTGTTATTGATTGAGTAACTAATTATAAATATTT